TGTAGGGAAGTGGGTGAGCAAAATCAGTGACTCCGGGTGAGGGACGGAGTGCGGGGCCCAAGAAGGAGCCCCATGAACTGGCTGCCCCACAGTAACTATCACAGGCTCTTAAAGAAAAAAAAAGGAAGGAAGGAAGGAAGAAAGTCTCAGAATGTCCTCAGATGTCCCATCCCCCATCCCCCATCCCCCAGTAGACTGTGGCCCAGGACCTCTAGCCCAGGCTGGTGATGTTGGCACGGCCACCAGGGGGCGCCACGATGCGCTGGGTGGTGCGGCGAGGGATGTTGTCATCAATCTGAGCGCCTGCAGAGGAGAGAGGGGTGAGGGTCAAAACCAGTGACAGGAGCTCCCTCTTTAAACAGGAGTATAATACAGCTTGAGAGCAAATGGGCCAGGCCCATCCCCCATCCCCTCAAAACCTCACCAAAAGCTTAAACTACAAAGAATGGATGGGCTTAAGATGGCCAAAGAATCAGACGGCACACATAATTCAGTCCTTGCAGAAGCCAGTTAGATCCATTACTTGAAAAAGTAAAACTACATGTAAAATAATACTGTTTCAGGCTTTTGACTGACTCATAGACTACAACCTGTCCCTACTCTCATTAGTCAAATTGAGTGTGGCTTTTCTGAAGGTATGGCCCTCTCTCTGGCATTCAGTTCCTCTGATATTATACAACTGTATAATCAAAAGAAGAAAGAACGACGGTTCCTTATACTTGAATGGACTGGTGACACAAGATAGCATGGACACAGTAAATTTTTTGAAAATTGGTAATCCATACCAATTTAGAATGGCAACATTCTAAAAACCAATATATCTAACCAGAAAAAAATCTACCTGATTAACTGTTTAACACGGCATAGAAATCTGAATACATATCTGTGGCTTGGAGCTGGAAAGGTGGAAGGGTTCTAGTCATGGGCCAAATGAAGGACCACTGGAAGGAAGTTTCAAGTAAGGAAGTTCTAAAATCTGGACCCTTTCCTCTCATCGTCCCTGACATCACATATTTTATCCAAGCAAATGGCTAACAATTCTCAAATGACTCTATTCTAAGCACCTTACACGCATATTAACTCATTTAATCCTCACAACCCCATGAGGTAGCTACTACTATTATACCCGTTCTACAGATGAGACTGAGGCACCGCTAAGCCAGCATCTGGACTACGAAGTTAAGCTGTTGAAAGTTAAACTCCAGACCTCATAAGCTGAACTACTACCATATACAGTTGACCTTGAACAATGCAGAAGTTGGCGGAGGGCGGGGGGAGGGGCAACCCTCTGTGCATTCAAAAATCCACATATAATTTTGACTTCCCAAAAATGTAATTCTGGTCAGCCCTTTGCATCTGCGGATTCAGCCAAACACAGATCAAAAACAGTATTTTTGATCTGCATTTGGGAATCTACAGTTGAGTTTGTGAAAATGTTTTTGATCCACGGTTGGTTAAATCCACAGATGATTCCACGGATGCAAAGGGCCAACTGTATTTATTGAACAAATCCTCATTTAAGTGGACTTGCACAGTTCAAACCCATTTTGTTCAAGAGTCAACTGTACTGCATATGCAGGGAAAAGAAGTCCTAAAATACCATCATATGCTTCTTTAGGACGGCCACAGGACATCGAATAAAGGTCCTCTAAATATACTGGGTATTCCACATAGCATATGCATCATGCCATTACATGTGACAGAAACTGATGTCAAGATTATGAAACCCAATCGGCCATTTGCCGTGAATTACATCTCTGGTGATATTAGTATTTCCCACTTGGGAACATGGGAATGCCATTTTTTCTTCTCCTTCTACAAAAGGGATTCCAGACTCATCAGCCCCACCAAGCATGGCCTGCAAGAACTGGGTCCTCAGCAAACCATAACCATACCAGACAAGCTAAATCCAGACTGGTGCAGGTTCCGGACAGGTGGGGCCTGCTGCTTGGCCGGAGATGTCTTAGCCGAGGAGGCTGGAGTGACTGTCTTGGGTGTCACAGACACTTCACACACAGGTCCGTCGTACAGGCCACGAGGAACCCCTCTCAGCTCCGCCAGCTGCAAAACACAAGAGCCCCTCGACTCAGGCCATGTTCACAGAGGCTGCCTCTCTGTCAACCCTCCTGATGTGGCAGGCCTGTGACGTCTGGGAATGGGGGGCTCATCTTATAGAGGAGTGCAGCGGGGACAGATGTCAGCATGGGGCCAGCCTCAAGGCTCCAGGCCAAAGCTTCCCATAAGGTAGGTCATGCGTAACTGATTACTCTAAAAACTAAGTAACATTTCTTACCATTTTCCCCCAAGACACTTCCAAACATGTTATGAAGAAGATCTAGTCTCATGTTTTAAGATCTGGCCCCAAACTTTCTTTCCAGCCTCTCTCCCTCTAATTCCCTCACAGTGCTATCCATCCTGGCCTCACAGCCCCCAAGCTCCGGTGCTGTAGACTGTTCACCATGTCTGGAGCACACTGAAACTTTCTTTCCAGCCTCTCTCCCTCTAATTCCCTTACAGTGCCATCCATCCTGGCCTCACAGCCCTCAAGCTCCGGTGCTGTAGACTGTTCACCATGCCTGGAGCACACTACATTTTCTATGCTCATGACATTTTCTCTATCTAATTTCCTTATCTCCCTTCTCTGACCTGTCAAATGTCTACTTAACCCACAAGACCCAAGTCAAAGTGCCCTCTCCCCATGACACATTCCCCCATGACTCCACAATGGTTCCTTCCTGTGAACCCCATCACAGCACATGTCACAGTCTCACTTGATTCTGGCTAGCTGTGGACGCACCTGACTCCTCCGCTGGTATTCTGGGCTCCAGGAATAAAAAGACCATGTTTCCTTACCCCCGAATCCTCCGTACTCATCTTGATGTTCTGACTCAAAGTGCTTAGTACGTGTTTAAGAAAGCGAACTTAACCCATGACAAAACGATCCGTAAGATCAGAGCTACTCACTCTGCTCCTCGCCTTGATACGCTTATAAACAAAATCGGGGAAGGGCTTTCGAGGGATGTAGCGCCCAGAGCCTTCGGTGACGTGAAGGGTGCCGTCTTCTAGGACAATCTTCCCCTGGCTAATGACGACCAGCGGAGAGCCGCGGCACTCCATGCCTTCGAAGATGTTGTACTCGAGAGCCTGGAGGAAGGGAGCACAGTGAACCCCAAGGACACGCCCGGCCGTCCAGTCTGGCAGCACGCACTCCCTGACAGCTCGCGGACGAGAGAAAGGCCCAGGGCTGCAGTCCCTGTCCCAAGTGGCCACACCAGCAGCCACTTAATCTCTATGTCTTAATTTCCCTGTCCAGAATATGGAATCATCTTTTACCACCTCTCGAAAACTGGGGGGCACAAAAACTGAACAGAAAAATTGTATGGAAAAGCGTGAGGGTTTGTAAATGCCACACAAATAGAAGGAAAAGATTCCGCGTATTAGCAGTGACTTTGTTCCTACTCGAGCTCCAATCAAGTTCAAATGCAAAGGCCCTCTGTGACCGAGTTCTAAATTTAACTTTGAAATGGGTCGTCCACAGTAGGTTTTCCCACTGGTTTGCCTGGTTTTCCAATCCGTTAACGATGTGGTGAAACTGAAGTCTCTAAATGAAAGGACTGTGGTGATTTAAGAGGCACGCCTTCAATAAGATGTTTGAGGTTTAATTTCCCAAACAACACAGCAGTCCTTTTGGTTTCAAGCTTTTCAGGGTAAAAGAGTGACCTATCTGTGTGCCCTCTGGGAAAATATACTGGGTCTCTATAGGCAGTGAGTTTGTTTTTGGACAATAAGGCAACAGAGACCCGGGGCACTGTGTTCCACATTAAAAACTCCATGTGTCACAGCCCCATCTCACAGCTTCGGCTCACCCAGGACTGTCCCTAGATTCCAGAAGGCCTTCTGCCTGACCTGCTCGCAGGCACCAATGTCTGTGCTGCGCTCAGGACTGGACCATGAAGCGGAGGCTCCAACCATGAAAAGTGACTCAGGCTTCTGGGGGAATTCAGGCCAGGTTATCGGCACTAAGAGTCAGCCTGTGAACAGACAGCTGCAGCAGCGCCCTGCACTGCAGGATAACGTCTCTGCTCAGCGCGCTGGCTGGGAAGTATGGAGAGGCCCCGGCTGGCTCCTCAGCTAGTTCAATGTCAAAATGCAAAAGTACTGATTGAAAATGGCAATGAAGGGCTGTCAGCACTGCTCTGAAACTGTGAAGAGTCATGTGGAAGCTACCAAAGGAATGAGGCAGAGAGACACCTGAGAGGAAGGAAGGGACTCTACATGGGGACTCCCAAGGCCCGTGTGTGTGTCCCCAACGCTCTGAAACTGTGAAGAGTCATGTGGAAGCTACCAAAAGGAATGAGGCAGAGAGACACCTGAGAGGAAGGCAGGGACTCTACATGGGGACTCCCAAGGCCCAAGTGTGTGTCCCCAACAACTTCATCGATTCTAGGACACTCCTCCCTGAAGTCAGAACGTGTCTTGCCGCAGATGGACCTGTGCAGTGGCCATCAGTGTAGACTGAACCAAGTCCTTCCAGGGGGACATGGGTTTGTTCTCCCCTGTAGCCTAGGGGATTTCCACACTAACGCCATTTTACATTAATCTCTCAGCTTCAGGTTTTTCTGGACCCTGTGGGCATCAGGAACTCACATCTCCAACCTGCATGAGCAGCGGCTTTCAGTTTATATTCTCCAAGGAGACATTTTGTCCTCTCTGAACTCAAAGCCAAAGTCGAAGCGCACAAGATATTTGCCACCCCTTCTACATGGCAGATTCACCTCTCATTTACCCTACACTAAGCACAAGCTTGGTGGCACAACACATTTTCACGAGTTTCCTAATACTCTCGTCTTGGGTGTCTTTTCCTTCATGGTGGTACATAAACTAATGGCATCTTAGATTTGGTGAACTCCAGAAGCTGTTTGCCTCTGGGCAAATCATTTGAGTCCTGCCTCAGAACTTCAATTTCTCCATCTGCCTCTCTCACAAGACTTTGTGAAGATGACAACACAGAAAGCATCACATGTGTGTAGATCCCCATCAGGGAAATGTCAGCTGTAAAATGACGTTTGAAAGGGTGTGCATCACCCTTTAAGGGCTGGATGAAGCCCCATCTCTGCCATGTTACTCCACAGCTAACTGTCCATATTCGGACAAACTCCTCTTAAGCCCCGCTGGAGTAACGGAGACAACCTTCGACACGCTGCCATCTGCTCTGGGTCCCCACCCCACGTCTGCCACTCGCCAGCTGTGTGACTCTGGATAAGTCCCTTACACTCCCCTCCACGCCTCGGCTTCCTCATCTGTAAGAGGAAATGGTCCACTTCGCAGGAACGATGCTGAGATTGCAAAAACTAAGAGGGACAGAAGCGTTTAGCAAGCTGCTTGGCACAAAGTAGGCATTTAGAACATGTTCACTCATTCACTGTTTTTACTGCACCTTCCCAACAGGATCGCAAGCCTTTTCGTGTCAAAGAATTGTTAAGACACATATATCAAGTTTAGTTGCCTAAAAACTGATCGTTAACACCTAGAAGAGCTTTGGGCCAACACCCATTTTTAATAGATGGAGGAACCAGCCCCCATGACTCTAAGTGACTTCAAATCGACAGGTCCAATGGTCAGATCTAGGTGTTTGGAGCCTCCTCTCTGTCAACCACGAAGGCGGTCAGGCTTCGTCACTCACCAGGTATAGATATTTTTAACCTACATCCACACGGGTTCCCTAAAATTACTCATCTGGCTGGATGCCTGGAAAATCCAAGCAGAGGCTTAACAACAGGGCTGTCAATAATAGTTAGCTAAGTGCTGCAAATTAAAGCTAATTAGCCCTGTAGTAGAAAATACTGTATTACATGGGAAAGCCTCCTATTAGTATTCTCCCAAATGATTGATGCTGCATAAACGTGCTTAGTGTGGGCTCTTGAACACAGGTGAGGACGGAAGTTAGCATTTCTCACATGGGGTTGCCTGGAGTTAAAGGCAGGGCAATGCAATTGCCTGGAAAGGTTTGGGTGGAATGTCTGGAGGGCAGAATCTGTCTTCCCGAACCATCGCTCCTTCACATCCTCTCTTCTGCCAGGTTAAGGGCTCCAAATGCAAGCTCCCTGGCCAGGTCACCTACAGCTTAGATAATGAGTCCAGTTCCTCCTCTGTGTTACCTCTGGAGGAGACCCTGCAAGGAAAGGGAAGAATTTTCTCCATCTAAGTCTGACCGAGAGGCTGTATATGCAGTCTGGCAGGGAACAGCCATGGACAATTTTGGGTTCTAATTCTGGCTCTACCGCAAAATAGCTATGTAACATTAGACTGGTCACTTAAGCTCTCTATGCCTGAGTTTATTTATCTTCCCAATTGGGATAATAATATCATCCCTTTATTGAAAAGGCCAAATGAAAGAATAAATTGGAATATGATGTTAAATGCCTATGAATAGAAGGGTTCACTGGGCTAAGACCCCTGCCTGTAAAGAAGCCATCCTGGATCCCCAAAAGGTTTTGATCTAAGTTACAAGTTGGTGTGGCCGCAGCCTATGCTGCAGAGCTAAGCAAATCAGTGGGAAAGGAGGGGGAAACGTCACCTATAAATAAATACTGAGAGCTGAGCAGCCTTTCCGGAAGGCATCCACCATCCTGACATCCACAGGTGCCAGCAGAAACGAGAGGCGAGCCTCACTCACCGAGCCCCTCTGCCCAAATGGGAGACGGCTAGGATATGGCAAAGGGCCCAAGGCTGTGCCAGAGAAATGCCAGGGGCCCACTCTTGAGCAGTCATGACACCTCAGGGAGACGTGAGAACTCGCTGGTCCAGGCTAACTAGGGTGGGCAACCTAGAATCAGATTCCCTATTGAGCCAGCTTTCAGTTTAGAACTTGATCTAGAATATCCTCATCATTCATTAAGAATTCACTTCGAGATTCATATGAGTTCCTGACATAGAACACTTCTGCCCTACGCCCATTTCTTTTTCAAAGTTGCCCCTTTGTCCATATTCTTGCAATGTTATATCTATATCAATATACATAGATATAGCAATATAGATACACAGACATGCACACATAGTTTTTCCTATGAAGAACCAATGGTATCTAACACCTCTGCCCAATGCCCCGGACCTCAGAGTCACAGGACACTCAGAGACGTTGTTTAAACCCTGGATTCATTCTCAGCCAAGGAGCCTGACACATGACATGAAGTCACTTGCCCAGGGTCCTATTAACAAGACGGGGTATCCCCAAGCTCTATATTCTAGCCTGAAGACAACAGATACCCTAAAACTGCAGATCCTAAAATCATGGTCAAAATGGCTGCCGGGGATATTTCTTCCATTTAAGGATAAGTCTAAGTCAATTAATTCCTTGAAGACAATAAAAGCAACTGTTATTTAAGTTTCTATACAGCAACAATGATATGAGAAAACAATGGCTTATAAGAATAAAAGTACCAGTGGGCATCTCAAGAGTAAATGTTTGGATGTTTCATTTAAGTCCCTTGCACCAAACACTGCCATGAGAGGTGCTACACCGAACTATAAAAACGGGATGGTGCCTGACTTCTAGAAGTTTCTGATGTCCTGGCATGACATGGGAGGCTCTAAAGGTCTACCAACAGAGACCTCTATGTATAAGACAGTCTCTGGAACTCCAAAATGATGATAAGAGTGACTTATTATCAGTCTTACTGACCTCAGTAAAGGACAAAAAAAATTTTTTTTTTTTTTAGCAAATTGCAAGTTATAATATATCCTGGAAAAAATTTCACTCCTATTAGGGAGAATTCTTTTCATAAATCCTGAGGACTTTTCTGTCTCTGTCTCTTTCTGCGATTATGATTTGTTTGGATTGGGTCCATGCAGTTAACAGGCCTTACGCTGTTGTGGGTCTTGGCAGAGATGGTTTTCACACTGTCGGGGTCCCAGATGACCAGGTCAGCATCAGATCCCACGGCAATGCGGCCTTTTCGAGGGTAAAGGTTGAAGACTTTGGCTGCATTGGTGCTGGTCACAGCCACAAACTGGTTCTCATCCATCTTCCCAGTGACCTGAGGAGTACAATAAAGCACCAAAAAGTTGCAGGGGGGAACATGACTTAGCAATAAAAAGAAAACACACTTTTGATACAACCTAGATGGATGTTAACGGCACTATGCTGAGTGAAACAATCCATCTCAAAAAGTCACACACCATATGATTTCCTTTATATAAACATTCTCAAAATAACAAAGGTAAAGAGATGAAAAACAGACGAGGAGCGACACAGAGATCCCTCTCAGGGTGGGGTGGGTGACTATAAAGGGGCAGCATACAGGAGGTCTTCGTGATGACAGAGGACATCTGTATTTTGATTGTGGTTACATGAATCCACATAGGACAAAATGACACAGAACCATACACACACACACACCGCACCATCGTCGATCTCCGGGTGTTAATGTCGTACCGTAATCATGGGAGATGCAACCAAGGCGATTAAATGGGAGAAAGATACATGGGGGAGGGAGACGCCTTCTCAGTCCTATCTTTAAAACTTCTCTTGAATCTATAATTACTTCAAAGTGAAAACTAAAAACAAAAAGCTGAAGGGGCTGCAATGCCTTCAAGAAACAACATTCGGCTTGAACGGCTGTCCTTTTCAGAGATACAGGTACAGACCTAAGGCTTCTGGTCCAGCCCACTTAGAAGGCTCAGCCCCAGGTCTGGGTTTCCGCAGCCATAGGTGCCAATCACGTTTCCTCAAGTCCTTCCTGCACTTTCTCATCTCTACCACCTGTGTTCCACTCTCCTTTAAATGCAAAATTTGAGGAAGTGACTGCATATCTCTGAGTTAGGAGATGCACTCAAAAGCCAGCAGAAAAATGGGCCAAGGAAATGAGCGGGTATGAGAGAGAGAAAAAAATACAAATGGCCCCATTAGCATATGAAAAAATATTCACTCTTATCAATAACTGAAGAGATTAAATATAAAATAAAATTCCCCAATCAAATTAGCAATACTTTTGTGTTTTTTTTGATAACACCAATTTGGACTCGGTAGAAGGAACTGAGAATATCATATACTGCTGGTGGCATACAAACTGATGCAATCTTTCTGGAACTTTGACAATATACATCAGAAGTCTTAAAAATATACATGCCCTTTGACCCAGCTATACCACTTCTAGAAATTTCTCCTATAAACATAATTAAATATGTGTCCAAGATGTGTTTACAAGGATGTTTATTCCCAATAACAAAATCAGAAATAGCATAAAGAACTGCAAATGAATTACAGTCCAGCATTAAAATGGAACAACAGTCTGCTATTAAAAAACAAGCTTTTCAAGTATATTTAAGGATGTGGAAACTTTTTTATGATATGTTGTTTTAATAAAACAGCCCACAAAATAGTATGTATGATGCCAATGTTATTTACACACTCACACACATACATATAACATATACACACTTGTGCATTCTTGCATTGGCAAAAAATGAAGACGTTTGGCCAAAAATGATGGTATTGTAAGTAGTTTTTATTTACTTCCTTATTCTTTTTGAATAAAGATCTATTGTTTACATAATGTAAAAACTTCATTTTAAAAAAAGACAACCTGTTCTGTTAATATGTTTTATAACACTGAAAATGGAAAAGCCCAGAGATCATTGAAGATCTATGTAAGTTCAAAGCAGACCTGCCCAAAGCCTGTAGTGGGGAAATGCTAAGCCCGGGGAGCCCTAAAAGACAGTTTCAAGGAAATTGAGCCCATTTTCAAGAGTATAAGATTAACTGAGAAAGTCATCAGGTTGCTAAGGAAGCTTTTTCCAGACTGATCAAAGAAGAGTCATGTTTTAAAGACTCTGTGGGTTATTTTTTCAGTGTCTACTGATCCACAGATGATAATGATAGGAAATACAAATGGAATATTTAGAAGGAAATGATCTATAAGGAATGGTCTCGGATTCCCTAACGTAAGAAATATTGTCACGCAAGAAGTACTAACTCCTAGAATTTTCTCAACTGCCATTTCAAGGCCCGCATGCGACCTATGACCCTCAGACGAGGAGGCAGGGGAAGGCTGAGATGAACCCATGAGTGAGACCATGCCCCTTACCACAGCCTTGTCCCAGATGACGGACATCCGCTCCTCAGTGCCATTGGTGCCTTCAGGGATCAGGGTGAAGTTGTCCTTCCCCACGGCCTTCTGAGCAGTGTTGAAAGTACAGTGGGCGCTGCCAGTGACCTGGAGATCTCCACTGGAAGGAAAGCATAGGACGGCTTTTAACTAACCTTTGACTTCAAATCATCACTTTTGAATATATTGTTTTTAATGTGCCAGGCCACTGACAGTTTTTAAAATAACCTTTCCTCCCCTCAAGAGATAGGAAATTTGGGAAGATCTGACATGATACTGAAACCTCATTATTATGCTGTTCCTCTGAATCTATTTCGGGAGGCATCTTAAGGGGGTACAATACACCACACACGGTGGAATCCTTTTGATACCCTATTCATCCCCATTTCAAGATGGCTTAGGTTTTTATTCAGAACTCCCCCAGAATGGTGTCAAAGTGATAATTCTCTGTTCCTACTCGTCGATCTGAGTTTGGAGAGCAAGGGTCTGTTTGTTTGCAAGCCTGCTTTCGCCCACCGTGTTGTAACCCCCCCAGGTCAGCTGGGTCTGAGGAAAGGTTGAGAATGGGAAGTGTGAACAAGTCACCAGACTCACCAGGACAGCAAGGAGTTCAGAAAGTCTGGAGTGGTAGGGTCAGGGCTCAGGGGTGGGGAGGTGACAAAAGCAGCAGCCTTGGCCCAGTTCTTACTCCAGTAGTGGGAGCCATCAGTTCCCAAGCTGGCAGTGATGGGCTCGCCGTACACCACGGTTCCTGGCAAAAAGAACAACAAAGCTGAATACGGTACAATGAGGGAGAAAGGAAATCACCCTCTTTGGAGTAGCTACCCTCCCGGCAGCATGCCAAGGGCTCTCACCAGCCCTTCAAAGAAGGCACCAGCCTCACCTCACAGGTGAGGACACCGATGCCCGATGAGGTCAAATACTTCCAAAGTCAAGGATCCAATATGTGCTCCCTAAGATTTCACCTTTGGACCCTGCTCTTCTAACTCAACACACTCTGTGTGGTCCCAAACAGTCTGCCTCCTACGCTGCTGATTCCCAAATCCATTAATAATCTCAGACTGCATTCAAGTACCCAGTCCCAAGTGCCACATAAACTCTTATCTTTGGGTGATCCGTGACATCTCAAACGTAACCTTACTGCTCACCGAACACTCCCCCCGCTCTCCCGACATTTCCCAGTGCCCCTTGCAAGTGTCTACGTCTGGCTAATGGGCTGAGAGAGGAAATCAGATGTGACATCGGTGGGCTGGAGCATTTGAGAGCAAGTACTAATCTGGCTAAGCGACAGCCTGGATCCCTGAGTCATCACCTGAAAGGAGCTGCCCTTAGCACCACCAGGTTCACCGCCAACTTTGTAAGAGTGAAAAATAAAGGAGTCTGCAGTTATGCTACTGAGGTTTCAGATTTTCCAGAAGCCTGGTGAACTTAACTAATACATTGCCGAGAAAGAACGTCAGTTCCCTGGTGCTCTGTCTATTCCTGTGCCAGCCAGAAAGGTAGGAATCATTTACGCCCATCCAGTAAATGCCAACGCTTTAATGCCTTAAATGCATCCTTTCCTTTCCATTCCTCCCCTTAAATCAGGCCTTTATCATTTCTCCCTAGCTCATTCCAACAGAGCCACCCAGTTAGAGTTTACATTTATATTTGTTTTCCCAACCTTCTTCCCACCTCTCTATCCGTTCATTCTCCATGACACTTCTAGAATAATCTTCCTAAAACATAATCTTGCCTAGGCCATTCTCTTGCATAAAATCCTCCCAAGGAGCATTCTGCCTTCAAGGACAAAAACAAACTCCTCTCTGACGTATCTGATGGCCTTCATTGTCCAGCCACCTATGAAAGCTGATCTCTTTAGCATCGTCCAAAACTCAATCCCATTCTCCACTCTGATAATCCAATAATCACCCCGTTTTGAATTTTTTGATTCTCCACTAGACGGAGATACCCTGAAGAAAACGAAATCTGCCAGCACACAGGAGGCACTCAATAAAAATGTGTCAAATTAATTACTGGGTGTACTCTTTTATTAATGAACTGCATCAGAGCTGGAATTTGACCTCGGGCCAGCCTTCCCACCACCAGGAATTCAGCTCTCCTCACCTCCTTCTATCACAAACATCCGGTCAAATGTTCCCTTTTCTCCAAACACAGGGCCCTCAGGGCCAAACACTTCTCAGTCGGGAATGTGTCTCCTTTCCACCTCCACAGCCTTTCCAAGGTCTTATCTCTTGATAATAACCCACAACACCCTCTATGCTGCAGTTGCCACTCTGAGAGCTGGCTCCTTGGAGCTGCCCCCTCCAGCCTCAGGAATTTCACAAAGGAGCCACTGTTTAGCCAGGGAGTGTTAGAGGCCACGGCAGGCAGCTCACTTGAGGAAACCAGTAACAATCCTGAAGCAGGAGGGAGGGCTCCAAACAGGAAAGCCTACCCCAGAAGGAAGCCCCCAGTGAGGGGGAAGGGCCAACGCTCAGCATCACCTGGGAGGCCTCCTGGCTTCCTGACCTACTCAAAGCCTCCCAGGTAGGATTTGGGGAGCCAGCTGGGCAGCTGCACAAACCACTCCTCTAGCTCACCCCGAAGTGGAAAAACACCGCATAATGAGCAGGCCTCTGCTGCTGCCAAGTCTGTTTATAAAATGCAAATGGCTGAGCAGGACCCGGCCTGGGCTCTGGTTCTCACAGGACCTCCGCTCCCAGCTTTTAGTTTGAGTACCAGTCGCAACTGACTGAGCCGATGGTGGCTCTTCTGCCCAGCCAGGTCTGGAGGTCCCGCTGGCTACTGTCTGAGCACACAGAGAGTTTGGTGCCAGTCATTAGGAAAACAAAGGACTTGTAACCCTAAAGGTTTCCTGGTTTTGTCAACATAAAAAAGTTCAAGAGAGCAGAATTGCTTGGAGGAAAAAGAGCAGCTTGCTGGTCTTTGAAAATCCCTGGACAAGCACCAACGGTTTCCTGACTTTCCTACAACCTGCCGCTGCTCATCCTCTGACTTTGGAATCTAGGGGACAAGGAGGGGCTGGTTCCTGGAACCCATCCTGAATCCCACACGTGTGAGTGCCCTTGCTGTGGCCTTCATCTCACTCTGTGAAATACAACTGTGATGGGGTGGGAAGCTGGTGCCCAGGGGCTGAGTCCTGTTCGTGCATAGAACATGCATCTCACCACAGAGGAATGAACTCGGCCTTCAGCCTCTAGAAAACACAGAACTGGGTTGGAGCTTCAAGGCCACTGCTGACCAGACCTGCCTCCTTAGACGAAGGCGGAGCCAGGACCCTTGGGCCAGGGCCAAGCTGAGATAAGGGCATTTAGAGAAGAAGGAAGGCATCATTGTTGCTTCGCCCTGTTCAATTCCAAGGAATTCAGAGGTCCTTGCTGTCTTTCGGTTTATTCCTTTTCTTCACCCCACAAAGGCAGGGCAGGAGTTAAACCACCCTATGGGAGACCCTCACCTCCAGAAGAATGCAAGTCCACAGGTGGGGGCTGTACCTCCCAGCACCTATGGCCTGCAGCCTCCCCAGGATGCCTCTCCTCGTTTTATAAACGCTGTACCTGAGGGGACCGTGGATGAGCTTCTGACCTCAGTCAGGCCACAGACACTACTGAGCTGTGCACCAGAAATCATCACCACTAATAATAAACAACCATGGAATCGGCTTAATTGGTCTTTCTGCACTCCTCTAAACATACTGCTGACACTTTCTTGGAGGAGGTTAGACCTTCATGATTTTCTTCTCCAGGGAAAATTCTAAACTGAAAGATGTGACTCAGAGCCAGCAGCTGGTAGGCCTGGCCCGGAACTGCAGGAGCCTTGGGGGCGGTGTTCATCCACAACAGGCCTGGGGTCTGAGCGCATTCGTGAGGAATAATAAATGGATGGCTGGGCTGAGAAATGTTTGACAGCTCTCCCACAAATGAGAAGCAGGACAAATTCGGAGTAGAAACAATGGAAAATCAGGTATGTTTTTCAAAAAGCACAATGAAACACTGACTAGGACACAAATTCGGAGTAGAAACAATGGAAAATCAGGTATATGTTTTTCAAAAACTACAATGAAACACTGATTAGGACATTCTGTCTCTGTCTCTCTCTGTCTCTCTCTCTGTCTCTCTCTCTCTCTCTCTTTCTCTCTCTCTCTCAAACATTGACTAGGACATTCTCTCTCTCTCTCTCCTGCCCCTCCTCTCAGAGAACCTGTGCCAGAACCCACCAGCCAGGGCCTACCCATGGGTAACCATCTTAGACTTTGGTATCAAGAGTGGTTCTAGAGAAAGAGAATCAAAGTTTTCTGAATAGGTCGGGGTTTCAGGAATTGGCTCTCTGATCTGATTTGATTTAAGGACACTAATGACTCATTTCCAGTAGTAAAGAGAGCACTGACAGTCCATGGTGTGTTGGGGCTAAAGAGAAGCAAAATATGTCACCATAGGATACTCCTAATCAAATACTTATTACAGAGGCAATGATTGGGCTGACCATGTGTTTTCTGAGACCTTAGAATATTTTTGTCAATCTGACTATAACAAAATTGGCTGGTTGTTCCTAATTATGCTGGACAAAGTGGGGAAAGAAAGGATGAGCTCAGGGCAGCCCCAGTGCCACCCCATCCGTGACCCCAAAGTTTCTGTCTGCCCTGATGGTGATGCTTATCTGCAATAGCCTGAGTTCAGATGGCTGAAAAACAAACCCAGTAGCTCATCTTGCCAAGTGTCTGAATTACAATGCAAATTGAATTCCCAAAGTCTCACTGTCTGCTTTTAAAGTGAGGGCATTGATTGGGAAAGAATGCCTCAAGAAATGACAGCCTTGGGGCCCCAGCTGCAACGCCAATTCCTTAAGTTATCTCTCGTTATCTCTCTCTCTCTCTTCACACACACACACACACACACACACACGCACGCACGCACGCACACACACACACACCACCTCTATATATGTTGTTTCTGTTGTTTCTTTGAAGAGCCCTGATTAATAACAGATTTTTATGAGATTTTATGATATTCATAAGCCAATCTATATGCCACTCTCTGGGTTCAAAATGACTAGGTTGTGCATTAGCTTAACACTAAGGATTCATTCCCAGGTTGGGATGGTCCCCATGGCCCCAGGCCATGTGCTTCTAATTTTTCTGAATCACTTCTATTGCCCTACAGGACATAGGAAGTCTTGTCCCAGCTTCGGTTCCCATTTCTGCATCTGGGTGACGCGGGGTGGGGGGGGCGTGGTAAAGAGGAGGACGGAGAAGACTGTCCACCAGATGAGGTCACCAGGCACTGCCTACATGCCATCCACACAAGGAAGACATCAGCAGCCATACTCGGTTTCACATGTGGACAAATGCAAGCTGAGGGAGCCATTCCAGAAAAAACCCGCAATAGACTCTCAGCGGAAAGAGAGCTGGCCGGGAGTCTAGAACCTTGTGTTCTGCTCCCCATGGGCTGGATGTTCTGGAGCAAGATTTTCAATTTTCACATTTCAGTGTCTCTGTCATGATATGAGCCTATTAAATCAACCAATGTCTAAGTTCTTTTGAAGAGTAAAAACTGCTCGAGGTATTCTGATGCTGGCTGTGATGTCATTTCCTTCTCTGCAGGATGGGGTCGATGACACGCTGCCTGGCTGGATGGCACAGAATGGAGGCAGCATGGGCAACACTGTCTCTGGGGCAAGACGCATGGCGGTTGTGTTGGATCAAGCAGGCATGTGGAAATATTCTCATCTACACTTTACCTCATACCCTCGCTTATCCGAACACCTCCTGCCTTCGATCAGGACCAGCAGGTCTCGAGGTGGGGAATACATGGGGATCAGCAAGAGAAAGAGATGTAGGCTTATGATCTGCAGAGAAATACTGGGTCCTGTTCCGCAGCCTGAGACAGGCGGGGGTGTGTCTGTAAACAGTGGTGCTTCCTCTGTGTTCTTACCATACTTGGCTGCACCTCTTTGCTAATATTTGCCATTGTGACTTTCTGCGCCTGTGTCCCTCCCCTGCTAGTGAAAGAGCTGAGGGCTGGGACCATTTCTTGTCTCCCACACAAAGGCCTGAAGTATCACATCATAAAAGGCAAAGTAAATAGGGAAGGTCATGAATTAATGAAGGTTCTCTCCAATTCACAGATGAAGAAATGGAGCAGCAGAAAGTTGGCCGTGCCTCATTTGTGCCTTTAGGGGCTAGAAGACCCCACCTGAAGAAGCAAAGAATCCTTAGCAGGAAACTCTTACCTTAGGTCAGGAGGCATCTTTTCTAACCAGCCCTTCACTCGCTACTCATGAGAATAGCGTGTACCGTTATGATATACATCTTTATGAACGTTCTCTCATTTAAGCATCGCCATCGCTCTGTGACATGAGTCACTGTTGCTGCCCTCCCTTTGCAGATGGGAAAATGAAACACAGAGATGATACAGAACTTGCTCAGCATCACGTACTAGTGCACAGTGGACCTGGGGTTTGATCCAGGACAGGATATTGATCCTGGAGCACTAACGCTTAATACAGGCTTGCATTGTTTTTCTTCTCAGTCAGTACCACCCACGACCGTGCTAGGTGTCAGGCTCCCGTTTACCAGGTTTGTTGAGGAACCAAACCCCAACACACACTGACAAGGAGATGGTCACAGCGTTTCCCATATTAAAATAATCCCGAGGCATAAAGTCAGACGTTAACATGGATGGATATTCATGGCCTGACGTCAGATGCGGAATGATCAGAGCCCAATTCCACCCTTCGCCAGCTCTGAGCTTCCGTTTACTCAGCTGCAAAGTAAAACAAAGTACAAACCCCCGGCCTGCGCTGCCCACGTTGCTGTGAAGCTCCAGGGAGACGGCAGGAGCCTCGAGAGCCGGCGCAGCAAGCTGGGGTTTCGCATTCTTGCTCACGAGCAGCCAAATGCACTGGAAATTCTTTCCTAACAGCTCAGGTTCCTCTAAAGCGAAGGCTTTAAGGACTACAGAGTGAGAGCTGGAATGCAAGAGCCACCCTGAGAACCACGGTGGGGGCGCGGCTGGACTCGCACCTGGAAGGTTCTGGAGCAAACAGCTGAAACAGTCCCTTCATTGTGCCCACTCGCCAGTGCTCACGCAGGACCAAAGTCGTAAAGGAAACAGAAGGACATTATCAGGCACTGAGTCACTGGGTATTGAGTGAGACTGGACTCTGTAGTAACATGTTCCAGCTCCACATCTACAGATGGGGAAACTGAGGCACTGAAAGGAGAAGGGGCTGGTCCAGAGCCCAGCGTTCTGCAACCCAGACCAGGGCCAGCTCCGCCTGCTCCGATCGGGGTCTGGTGAGAGGCCCAACTCCTCCATCCTCCAATTTGGGCAAGTGACAGTCTGAATCAGAAAACAAGGCCTCAGTTTTTAAATTATGTCCAATTGTTTCGTTATATTATGTTAAAATGTGTTAAATTAAATTATGTTAAAATGTTTAACTTTCTATTTCTTATTATCATCTGGATACAGTATGGTTGTTAAAATGAACAAAAAAGTAAGCTTCCCCTTAACTTCTTTTCAGACACTGTGCCTACTGTCTCCACGTTGCACGGAGCAACAGTTCTGTGATTACTGTTGAGTGCTGTTGCCCAGCCGTATTGAAAATGGGTGCCTGGGCGTGACAGAGGACCCGGGTGAGGATGGGACACCAACAGTCATCATCCACAATGTCTCCTAGAAACAACTCAAAAATTTTGAGCAGATGATGTTATTTTAGGTGAATGCTCTTTTATTTCAAAAAGGCAATTCCCTCCAGCTGCCAGAAGAGGGCAGACTTCCAGGAAGATGGCAAGGCCATAACCGTTTGATTCAGAGCCTGGGACAAAGGCCCCGGGAGAGGTCCAAGGAACAGGGCCACTGCCACCCTCTCTTGGGACCAGCCAACTCAGTGGTCACTGAGGTCTTGCACCAAGTCACCCACCAGTGAAGAAATCCTATAGTCCTCCTTATCCATGTGGCTTCCATCTCGCAGAGAACTAGAAACCGAACCGCAGAGGTCAAACTGCTCCCTTCTTCACAGAGAAAGGACACAGAGCGAGAGAAAGAGATGAATGGAAAGAAAGAGAATGAAAGAGAGACCGAGAAAGATCCAGAGACCAAGAGAAAGGGGAACAGAAATCAAGAGAGAAATGGGGACGTACAGAAATGGAGATCCAGAAAGACAAGAGTCAGGGGACATAATGGGGAGAAAGGAAGAAGGGAGGGAGGGACAAAGGTCCTTTTATGATATTCATGTTCACATCAAGCCAAGAGCCACCCTCAAAGTCCACTACTGGTGACCAGGCTCTCTGTGCACAAAGCTACACTCCCAAGCACAGAACACGTGGTGTGATCATGCAAATTCATGGCCAAGGGCAGGATACAGCAGGGCTCTGCTGCATCCATAATGGATAAGGTGCGCCGCAGAACAACCTCTGGAAGCAGCACCGGAAGCTGCACTTAGTAAATTAGTTTCTAAGAACATTGTCCATGGACTCCCAGTAATAAGAGGGTCGGCCTCAGCCCAGAATATATCAATATAATTTAGCAGGAGTGACTCGAGTACTAGGAGGTCTAGGCTTGGCGGGCCCCAGAGCAGCATCCACCAACCCATGCCCCCACATGGCTCTCTCTTACTTACCCCGGCGGAAATCACTCCCAGCCACGAGGGGAAACACATTTTGCAATAGAAAGTTCCCCAGAAGGATGACTGACTCTGTGGCGGATGGAAACTGACATCATCTGTGTATGTGCCCTGTTTATTTAGACTGCATCGAATTAAATCCAACCTTTATATAGAAGGGGGGTGGGCAGGAGAAAAAATGTGCCTGCCCACCCACTCTTTGCTGTATGCGGCTTTAAATAGATGCTAACAAGGCCGCAGCGGTGGAACAGAGAGAGAAACTGGAGCTCCCTGCCTTGCTCAGCTGTAATTAGGTTAATGCTGGAACGTGATGAAAGCAGCCCACTTGGCATGAGGTTCTGGAAAAGGAGCCCTCCTCGCTTTCGAACCTGCCTGCAGTCAGAAGCCAGCGACACTTACCCTTTTTCCGGGCCTGGGCAATGACTTCGGCCGCGCTCTTGCTCATCACCTTGGTGACGTACAGGGGGCAGTTGGTCTGGTTGGCAATGGTAATCGAACGATTCACGGCTTCAGCCTCAACCTACAGAAGATCATCTGAACATGAGAACTGTGCCCACTCCACAAGTCGATCTTTACCCTCCACCCGCCGAGAAAGGCTGATGAATGAGAGAGCACCGTGTCCTCAGGTGCTACCCTGAATGGCACTGCAGGAGAGGGATGTGACCTGCCTAGTGTCACTCCACATTGATTGGTCGAAATCAGGGGCCATTCCTTCCTGGCCCTTCTGCCTGGTTATAAGTCTGGTCAGCAGACCTGCAGCATCAGCATCAGCCTGGTGTCTAAGAAATGCAGATTCTCGGGACCTGCTGCAGACTTAGCAATACCTCTTGGGTGTGGGACCCAGAAATGTGGGTCTTACCTACTCTTCGTGGTGCTTGTGCTTGCTAATGTTGGAGAACCACCGTTCATGGAAACACTGCTCTCAATTTGGTGCATTCATTACAGTTGCATGGTCTTGAGTCATGACCTTTAGTGATGTGATTTTGTGCTAGGCTTCAGTCCGATGCCCACAGAGGAAGCCAGCACTACCCAAGGAACAATGTGGGCTCACAGATCTGGGAATGGAGCAAGCAGCGTTTGTGTAAACCAAGGGCCCTCTGTGTGTGAAACATGACCACGGCCAGCCGCAGACTGGTACGACCTTCGGCACGAGATGCGAAAGAGCTGCTCTAAGTAATAATCTGATTCTTGAAACCCGATGCTTCAATGGATGAAATTTCAAAGACCCCATGTGATGACTGCTAAATAAATACCTGATCAGGTAAGACTGCTTAGATCAAGCTGTATCTTACAGAGGAATCAGCCAATTGTGTTTAGAACAGGCGACTGAAAGAACAAGTTATAGAATGACAGAGCTCAAGAAGTCTTTTGCTCCTTCCCAAATCCTAGCAAGAGGCTGGAGCTTCTATTCTTTGAGGCAAGGGGCCGGGTCTACTTTTTTTTTGTATCCTCCACACCCCAACCCCCACAGTTCCCAACGTAGTGCTCGGTACACAGCAGGTGCTCAAGAACACTTACCAAACAAATACATGACTTCATTTTATGTGAGTGGTAAAGCTAGGCTGTTCCATAAGGAGCTGCTCTTTTTCACAAGAAATGACTGGACTCCTAACTGAATCGTCTTAGCTAACCGTGTCTCTACAGGAGCTTGGCCAAGAGCGGAAGTTCTCTAATTGCATTAACTGGTAACCTAATTTAATAAACTAAGACAGTCCTCCCGTCCCCCGTTTGGCCTTTCAGGCATCAAATATGTAAAGAGAGATGTCTAGAACTCTAAAACCAAACTAATGGCTCTTGAAAAAGCTCATTAAACATCCAAATGGTTTTCATTCCTGGAATAGCTGAACCATGGCTCTCTCTCTCCTTGGCTCCAGCGACAACCGCAGTGCCCCTGGCCTGGGCAGCACAGAAGGGGGACCAACGTCCTGAATCTCTGCGGTCACCTCAGAAGTCCACAGTAAAGTGTGAAAAGGACTCCACTAGAATCCTCATCGCTTCCCGCTGGTGCCGGTGACTTCCCAACTTACTGTCCCAACCCAGGCGTTCTGAAGGCAAACAGAGGCCCTATTCATAACTACCCAGGGGGGATGGACCGTCCCGGGTGAACTGGAATGTGTCATTGTCCTAATTAGGGAGTAAACGGAGCGAAAGTGCCAGTTCTATCGGGGTCATACCCTGGAGGACTGGCTTCCATGAAGATGCTTTGGACTGAAGAATCTGGGTCCCAGGGCCCTGTCTGGATCTGCTCATCCACCACTGTGAAGTGAGTTTTGACCCCTCCCCGGCCCCAGCCCCGTACAGGCATAGAGCAAAGGCAGGGGCTGAACTACAAGGTCACCTCATGGACACAGAAGGTCATTTAAACCCCAGCTCTCCACATTCCACCCAGGACCATGCCAGGGTCCACATTTTAGCCCTCTGTGTGTATAAGTGTATGCCTCTGACATTCAATATGAACCATCTTACACGACCTGAGTTCTGCTTTAAATACTATTGCTTTAAAATATTATGAAAATAGTATTACAGTTTAAACATAAAAACTTATTTTTATTTGCCTCATTATAGAGCTATCGGGACGGGGAGTCATCAAGGCTTACTCTCTGATTTTAAACATAAGGCACCCAAAGGTCCAGAGAGAAAAGCAAACTATATAGGAACACTCAACAGTCAGCACACACACCACCGCCAGTACACACACCAGCAGCAGGACACACAACAGTATCAGCACACGACATGCCTTTACAGCCCAGTCCTCCGACTGTCTACAAATCCCAGTCACACTTTTCTGCCAGGCCCAGCTAGAGAGCTCACCCTCACCTCCGAGCCCCCACTGCCTTCCCAGAGACAGCCTTAACGGCTGTATCTCACTCGGAGCCCCAGCACCTTCGACCCTGTCTTGTTCCTGTAGAGGCAACTCCTGACACCTGTACAGTTGGAACAGGGTGAAGCAGCTCCCCAGCCAACCAACTGGACAAAGGCGAGAGGAAACTTTCTAATTAAGCCCAGCCCCAGCGTCACCACCTGGTCACCTGGGCCCACTGACTTGATGTTGAGCTGGGGCTCCGTGTGTGTGTGTGCGTGTGCGTGTGTGTGTGTGTGTGTGTGTGTGTGTGTGTGTGTGTGTGTTGGGGAAGAAGGTTGGACACTGCACTTTTCAGCTGACACTGGGCAGTCACTTAACTTCTGCCACTGTGGTTTCCATATTTGAGAGACAGAGAAGACAAAGGCCTTGCTGAAGTACAACTCCAGGCAGCCCCACGCACGGGCACTCGCTCATTCCCTGGATGAAGCTGTGCCGTCCACGTGAGTGGCACCTCCCTGGGGGTGTCCGAAGGAGGCTCTGTCGTGTCCCCTATGGAGGATGATTACAGAGCTAACATGTGAACTGGTTAAGCACAGGGCCTGGCCCCTCTGGTCGACATGCCTTTACAGCCCAGTCCTCCGACTGTCTGCACACCCTGGTCACACTTTTCTGCCAGGCCCAGCTAGAGCACTCAGTAAATGCTGGCTCTGAATGGGGCTCACAAGGAAAAGCAAGCAAACACCCTGAGGGCCATGCCATCCCTCTGCAGAGTCCCCGTGACTCAAATGTCTGACCCCAAAACTCTTTAAGATTGAACACAAGACCAACCCACCCTGAAGAGGGCGGGGCTGAGGGCCACCATGGCCTGTTCCCTCCTTCCCTCCCCAACAGCTTTATCCAGGGAAAGTGAGTTACAGTGGTCACCAAGGCCAGCCTGGAAGGGACACAAAGCCATAGAAGGGAATCTTCAGGGCATCTGTCTAAGTGAGATGGTTTCTACATGTGTGCACACATGTGTGCATAGCACTGCACTGTTTGAATGTATGTACACATGTACATGAGTGTGATCATATGTCAAGTATACGTGTGCACTTATATCTGTACATGTGCTTGTATACACTTCTGCATAAAACCAGCCTCAGGTACTGTTAGCATCAGCTACTGAAACTGTCTCCCTCTCTCTTACAAGCTGCCTCCCTGAATCACTGTCTACCAGCCACAGTCATAGGACAGGGCTCCCCACAGCGAATGCAGGGGCCTAAAGAAGTCACCTTCAGCCTCCTTCACCCTCGTGCTAGCTTCCGGCTCATGCCTTCAGGATTTTAGCATTCATGGGAAGGTCAGATGGTTATGAAAGGACCTATATCCCATGGCCTGGAGAGGACCATACAATACTGAGGAGGAGAAAATGTCTTCAGGGCGTCAGATGGTCTGATGGTGCCCTGGTGTGTATGTGTATGTCTGTGTGTGACTCTGTATCTGTGACTTGTAAGTGTGTGTGTGTCTGTCTGTGTGACTGTGTGTGTTCACAGTATGAACGGCAGAACAAGAAAGTGTAAGCCCTCAATGTGTGTTAGATATTTTCCAAGTGGTTTCTATCTTCACTTTTTTCTGTCTTTCTTACATTATTTTTGCTTTTTCCAACCTCACTCTGTCCTCAAAACCTGAGAAGACTCCGTGGATGCCGTGTCACCTCGCCCTCACCACAGGCGGCCTACTGGGGGCACCTTCACTGCAACCCTTGTGAATCCATTTTCTCCTTAGCGGGAGCAGAACGCCTGCACCCATGGGCCCCAATGTGCACTTTTCCCGGATTCAGCAGGCATCCCAGTTCTAAAGAAGTTCTGTGGTTTGGGGCCCTGGACCCATTCATACGCCTCTTGTTAAGCATCTCCTTCCACTTGTTTCTGGAAGGAAAATTCCTAATTTCAGGCTACATCCAGTTGCCTGATGATTTTATCTGCCTTTCTCTGCACTCAACCCTCTCTGCTACTTCTTTCTCATAATGAGAAAGTCTGTTTGCCCCCAGGAGAATCCTGAGCATTCTCTTTGCTTGGAGCCACCAGATCCTCAAAAGCCTGACCTGAGCCTTTTGTTAAGGAGCTAACTCCTGAGAAGCACTGAAAGGCCACAAATTCTAACTTAGAAAAAGTTACTGTGTCACATTTGATGTAAGCACCTTCTAACTTACAAGCCTCGCCACCCAAGACAGTGATGACTCAACCTTTGTGCCAATAAGGCCCCTCTTCTTAATTTTCCTTCCTTGATTTTGAAAGATTGTCTACCAAACTCTGCTGACTATGTTATCATCTGTGCAGACTCATCATGGGAAAATTCACAATTCTCTGATGTTTTGAGACATTTAGAAGCACTTTCAGAACCCCATGACTATGTTTTGGCGACTGGTGAGATTTTGGAGGCTCTAAGTTATGAACCACGAAACCCGGACTGCAGGATGCTGATAAAACACTGTTGGTGCCTCACCAAGAAAGGGCTGGAGAATGAGAGACAGAGAGGGGAGTGTTCAGGCTGAACAAGCCACACTGCTTTACCCCACGGCTCAGGCTAACCCTTCACTTTGCTTGAGTAGACACACACGTAGGTAACCTGTGACTTCTCATAAGGACCAAAATCAGCATCTGAGAAGCCCCATTCTCAACAGGCAGGAGGGTGGGTCCTATGTGGCTCTGGCAGCCCAAGGGACATGCATTCCATTCAGCGATGTTCACCTCCTCAGGCCGGCTCAGCACATGTCCCTCGGGGCCCGTGATGCCCAGATCCAGGATCCTCTGCTGTTCCTGCAATGTTTAAAGAAAGCCAGGCTGTCAAAGTGAGCACTTTGTGTGTCTGTGGGTGTGTATGTCTCTGTGTGTGACTTCAGGTGGCTATGATTGCTGGAGACCTGAGTTAAACTTACTCAGGTAAGATGTGAAAATGGCGTTGCTAACCACTCAGCCTTCATCTCAAGACCCCATTAAGAGAAGGGCTCAGTACCCTGTTCTCAGTCCTGCCTAAGCTATGGCGAATCAATCACGGCCTCCCAGGCACATGGAGCTCCTCCCCCGGGATGCTACAGTATAAACGTCTATAGGTAGGCGCCCATGCCCCACCCCCACAGGAGGTGCATCGGCATCACAGCACTGAGAGAAATGACCTGTCTGTGAAAAGGGAACAGGCTGTGTGCCCTGCAGAACACACTGGGAGGCGCCTGCGTCACCGACATTCACGCTGTCGGTGAGGCTGTCCGTACACCACCCAAGGAAGCTCACGCCAGGTTCCCCTGCTTTTCCAAACCTGGGAGCGGAGCTCCAGAAGTCACTTCCCTTTCTGGAGGCTGCCCTTGTGGGTCATGCAGAAACGACAGAGGGGAAGGCATCGTACCTCTGCAATGATGTCACCATTCTCTGCGTGGACTTGGGCGATGGCACCGATATCCCGGATCACGCTCAGCACTTCGTAGATCTGAGAGAGGAGGGGAGCGAGAGGAGAGACAGGGACGTCCATCTCCCTGTCCGCAAGCCCGCCCTTCTCCCCGTCGGCCACAGGGATCGCAAACGGCACGCCTCGGCTACTTCTGTGAAGCCCTGCTCTTCTGCCGTGTCCCAAGGGCAACGTTTCTGGCCACATGGGGCAGAGCAGGATCTCTCAGTAATTAACAGAAGCAGCATAACCTAAAAGGATGTGGATTAGGACTGAGAAGCTCACGGATGACACTGGCTCTGAGTACACCTCTCAGCCACACCGTCCATGGCAGGCCAACTCCAGAGCCTGGTGGAATGCCGGCGCTGGGGGCCAGGGCACTGGGTTCATTCCCTCCCTAAAGGTAACGTTGCATCAGGGACTTCATCCGCCACCATTTCCCATGGAGCTGAGAGAGGTATATATGCTGGAGGCAGCTTTCAAGACAATAGCAGTGGCCTGAATGTACCAAATGTCCGTGAGCCTGCTCAGAAGAGCCAACTTTTCTTACCTGGGAATCCGTTAGCTGGAAGCGATCTTTGAAAGCCATGTACACGAGGAAAGAATTTACCCCTGGAGGACAGACAAAATAGGGAGATGTGACTTTAGTAGATAAACCAAATAATCTGGAAAGGAATGTGTATATATATATATACACACACATCCATGAGAGAGAGGAGAGAAAGAGAGAGAGAGAGAGAAGAGGAATGATAAAGCAAATGGGGTAAAATATAAACAACCTGTAAATGTAGGAGTAAGGTGCAAAAGTTCTTTTTAGTATTCTTATAATTTTTCTCTAAGTTTAGAACTATATCAAAATTAAAGGTTGCTTGTATTTGTATAACCCATACAGATATACGGCATTATTCACAATAGCCAAAACGTGGAATCAGCCAACTGTCCACTGACAGGTGAATGGATAAACAAAACGTGGCATATCCGTAAATGGAATATTATTCCAGCCTTAAGCAGGAAGGAAAGTCTGACACGAGCTGCAACATGGATCAACCCTGAGGACATTATGCTAAGAAAAAGACAAATACTGTAGGATTCTACTTCTACGTCAAATTCATAGCAACAGAAAATAGGATGGGGTTTGTCAGGGCTGGGGGAAGGAGGGAGTGGAGAGTTAGCGGTTGAATGGGTACAGGGTCTCAGCTGGGGAAGATGAAAAGTTCCAGAGATGGGTGATGGTTACACAACAATGTGAAATGTACTTAAGGCCACTGAACTGAACGTACACTTAACAACGGTTGAGATGGTAAATTTTATGTGATGTTATATTTTACCACAATTAAAAGTTAAATATTAAACAAAAAAATTTATCCCAACTGTTGGGACTTCATGAAGAAAACGAATTAGAACATCCTGTTGAGAAGATCTATAATATAATAACTGTCTTTTCTTTGGTAAACATACTGCCCTACATGCTGATTTTTAAGAAAAGATTTTAAATAAGAAACATTCCATGAGTGGGACAAGCAGATGTCACAATTCTCATCCTGGCATTTTAGAGTTCTTGCCTCCCTGGGGACAGGACCAAATATCTCTGCCTAACATCCATCACAATAGTAAACAATTGTACTGACAACCTTCTAGTCTGGGCACTTAATTCAAGCCACTGGGGGTGCTGGAAGCTGCCTAAATTCAAGCCCCAGGACATCTCAGCCCTTCTCCCCTACTAGGCAACAGTTGCTATGTGGTAACCTCTTGGCTGATTGTGAGTAGATTCACAATAAGTATCTAAAGTTAAATGTGGGTATTCTTAAAAGTGAGAAAGATTAAGCTACTTTCTTTTACGGGGTACTTTCACACTAGAAAGAATCTTAGGATATCTAGTCCAATAACCTCCTGTGAGGAATTTTTTTTAATCCGAGACTCATAAAATTTAAGCGATTTGTCCAAACTCATAGAGCTAGTTTGTGGAAGAATAGAGAAATGAACTCGAAACTATAGATTTTTATTCTGGGCTTTTTCTACCATATCTATGCCTAGCAATTTCCCTCCTGTCATTTTACTCACAGTTCATGGGACTTCTGAGCTTAGAAGTCTCCAAACCCTAAAGCAATAGGTGTTTCTTTGACGATTACGATCCAGTGAGGTTAACTTGTGACCCAGGAGTCAAGTCTACAGCCAAGTTCAAAGGGACCCCAGAAGATGATGTGATTTGGCAAAACCACCTAACCCCCAAGGTTCATGTGGACAAGAGGGTCCCAGAGGCACCTGAGGTAGTCAAGATTCCTCCAGCCTCCCTGGAAATCTTTCAGAACCCAATCCCTGGAATCTTACTCCCTAAAATAGCCCTATGGACCAAAAGAGACCCCTCAAGTTGTCCCAGGGCTTCCTCAAATCTGTCCTGGTTCTCCCAGGTTTGGCAGGAAGAAGCTCCCCAAATCCTCTACTCCAAGTCCCGGGCACTCTCCTACGACCGCCCAGAATCCCCACCAGGATACGCATTTTACCTTTTGAGGGCAAGTCACTCTCACAGCCCCTAGCTAGGGCGCAAGATTCCCTCAAACCAATAAACTGAAAGCAGATGTTATATAGGAACAGATCCCTGGAATAAGGCTCAGATTGGTTCTCATATCAGCGAAAGCTTCTGTTGCCGGACTGGGTTTGGCCCCCTCCAATCAGCATGAACTGCAGCCCAAGCCTTGTCTCCTTAAATGGCCAGGATGAGGATCAAAAGAGATCTAAAAGCATCATTCACAGAGCTTGTCTCCAAGGGCTGTGCCAGCTCATAGACTAAGGATACTGGGTTGGTGCAACCTACCGTGGTCCTTCACCAGAGCTTCCATCTCCTCTTGGATACCCTTGTGCCACTCAGTAATGTCCACGTGCAGAGAGTAGTCACAGCAGGACTTGCTGTCGGCCCATTCCCTCCACTGGTCAAAGGCGGCCAGCAGGCTTGTCCCAGGCTCAGGCACAACATGGTCAACTAGAAAGGAACAGATATTTGTCGTCATCAACAGAAGCCTCAAGGGCCACAGGCCAGCAGCTGTTTTCTCAACAAAGCTTCTTGGGTTCAAAGTCCAGATGGTGATCTCTACAACCAGCTTCTAAGGATCCACTTAAACCAGCTGACTACCCAAGAGAGGGAAAGCAGAAACTTGGCATGGCATGGCTACTCCGGTGAAACCACGCATGAGTTGCCCAGATCTGATTTCCCAGCTCAAAGTCCCTGAAAGCACACACCTCGGGCACATTTCTCAGACAATGAGTCATTATGGAGGCGGTGTGA